TAATATAAAATATTTAAAATATTTTATATATTGCTAAATTATATTATACTTTTTTTATTTAGTATATAATTTATATTTATAAAGTATTTCTAGTATTATCTGAAGATGTTAAATATGTTCTTTATTTTGTTATATATCAAGATATTATCTAAATAAATAATTATAAACTTATCAAAATAAGTATAAAATATGTTATTTATAAGAGTCATAAAGATTATTGATATATTAGTAAGACTAAAAGATAGGATTAAGAACTTATAATATCTATAATAAGTTCTAAATACTATTTTATAAATATATTTTTTTTGTAATATAAATTTGATAATATTTAAAATATAAATTTAGCTTTGAGAAGTACTTTAATCCTATAAGTCTGTTTATTAACTTATTAACTCTAGATAGTAAGTAATAATTCTTGATAATAGTTTTATTTAAAACTTTATAGTCAATACATAATCTTAATATATCTTCTTTTTTATATATAAATAGAATAGATATTCTAAAAGTTAAGATACTAGAATAAATGAAATCTTTTTGAATAAGATTAGCTAATTATTTTTTGAGCTCATTTATCTTTGTAAAAAAAAGTTTATAGATAGTTCTAAATAATAATTCAGATCCTAAAGCAAGATTAATTTTATTATTAATTACTCTTTTAAATAATAGTTAGTTAAGTAAGATTTTTAAAAATATATTTTATATTTTTTCTTGATTTTAAGTATTTCTATTAAAAGTAACTTTTCTTTTACTTCTTTTTTATCTTTAGTATTATTAAGATATATAATAAAGAATTCTATATTTACTGATAAATTAATAATTTGCTGTCTTGAAATATATATTAAATTGCAGTTAGTATCAGATTTTATTTTATTATTTGCTTGAACTTTAATTATTTTTAATCTATAAATAAAGATAATAGTATTATTTTTTTAATCTATAATAATATTAATATGAAATAATCAAGATTTATCTAGAATAAGTTTGTATCTTTGTAACTTTAATATTTATATATTTATTTTATATATTTTATATATATCTAGTTTTAACTTATCAATCTTTATCATGATGATAATTATTATTTTTTTATTATTTATAAGTTCAACTATAACTAATATTATCTTTTATAACTTAACTTTATTTTTCTGAACAAACTTTTCATCTATAAAGTTTCTAGATAATATCACTAACTAGTAAAATTCATATTGACTTGCTATTTACTTGGCTATTAAATTTTAATAATCTTTTATTATTATCTTCTAAGTAAGCAAATTTTACTCTTTCATATGATTATAAAGACTCTTCTTGTTTGTCTTCTATATTTATAATCTTTACTTTTGATTTTGAATAATAGTTCTATAAAGTGACCTAATTTATTATAGTTATAATATATACTTTTGAATTTATTATTCTTTTAGTTATTATTATTCTTTCTATTATTATAATAACTCTGCTTAATCTAATTTTATAGATATAAAGCTATTATTCTGATAATTTCTGTTTTAATTCTGAGAGTAATAACTATTATTATATTTGCTTAATATTTCTAAAAGTCTTTCTTGTTAATATATAGTTATATTAAAGCAAATAGCTAATTTTCAAGTATCTCTGAAACTTGATAACTAATTTCTATTTTGATAATAAATTTAAGATCTTCTATGAAGTATGTAACTTGATCTAGATTATTCATGTCAGTTATTTGATTAATGATATTTCTAAATTTAATACTATAGTCTTATATTAAATCAGTTTAATAAAAAAGATATAATTATCTGTGAAGATATTATTAATAATATAATAACTAGAATATATCTTTAAGAGCTATAATAAAGACTTGTCAATTTTTAAAAGATGAAATAATATTATTTATCTTGACTTTATTAAGATATTAATATAAAGCTATATTAATCAAGATAGTGACATATTATATTTAAATTTTTGTCATCTGTAATTTTTTAGTTCTAAACTATAGTTTTAACTTATATATCCCAGATAAATATATTTTTATTTAGCTTTTCAAAGTATGTCAGTATTTTAATTGAAAGATGAGATGAAGACTTAGGATCAGAAGGATTATCTTTTTTTATAATTTTAATTAATTCAGTCATGTTCTGTATAAATTATATAAATTATTCTGAATTCATTTTGACAGAATATTATTTTATTAAATTAAAATATGTATAAGTACATATAGTATGTGATATATAAAGTATAAGATATTAAAGGATAATTTTTGTAATAATTATATTTACTATTATCAAGTTATAAAATTATTTTATTAATAATTATAAATAAGATAAAATATGATATGAATAGTTTTAATTTTATAACTTATAATTATTTTTATTATTTAAAAGTATTCAAATCTGAAATAAAAATACAAAACAAATAGTACTTTTTTATAATAAAAGAAATAAATACAAAAGTAAATAAATAAATAATAAAATTTATTTAAAATATATATGAGTTAAATAGAATTAATTAACTTAATTTATATTTTTGAAGAATAATTAATTATAATTTAATAATTAAAAATAAAATAAATAATAAAATAAATAATAATATAAATAATAATTAAAAAGAACAAATAAAAATATAAAAAAATATTTATAATATATATAATTAAAAATATTAATAATCTAAATTAATAATTATAATATATATAATAATTATCTATATGATAATATGTTAAATCTAATGTATTATATATATAAATAATTATTTGTATATTCAGAATAAAATTAATCTTTATAAAAAGTAATACAGAAGCTAATCTATTATAAAATTAGCATAAAATAAAGATCTAAGCTATAGAAAGATAATCTAATTAAATTATTATATATTTATTTATTAAAAATAAAATTTAAATATTTAATTTCTCAATTTTAAGATAAATAAGTTATAATTTAATAAAGTTATTAAGTCTTAATCTTACTTTATAAAGAAAAGAAAAATATTATCTTTTATCTGACTTCTTACTAATAAGCTCTCTTTATAAGAGTTAAAAAAAATAAAAGAATCAACTAGAACTAAAATTAAAAGTATAAAAAGAAAGAAAAAGATTACAGCTCAGAAATAAGCTATATAAGCATTAAAAAAAAATACAAAAAAAACTGAAACTAAATATAAAAAGTAGAAAGAATATTAAAAAAAAGAATAATGAAAAGTAAAAAAAATTAAGATTAAATAATTATTTATAATATTATTTATATTTAAATCAAAATAAATCATTATATAAAAAACTCTGTATAATATATATTAAATAAATTTCTTTTTTATTTTATTATTTTAAGTAAGTTAAATTATATAAAAATTATAATAAAATTATTTTTTTCATAGATTTTTATTAATAGAAACTATTAATTTTATCATAATATTCACATTTATCTTATAAATTATTTGATCAAAATTATTATAATTTCTTATAATTAAATAGCAAGCTCTTAAAATAATAATAACTATTTAAAAAATTAAATTTTATTAATTTAATTCTTATATATTATATAATAATATTTAATATTTTATTTTAAATCAATTTTATTTTAAATCAATTTTATTTTAAATCAATTTTATTTTAAATCAATTTTATTTTAATTTATTATAATTTTAATTTGTTAATATTAATTAGAATAAAATTTATTTAAAAATAAAAAATTCTAAATAGTTCTTTATTAATAGCTTATTTAATTTATAATATTATTATAAGATAAACTTTTATTAAGAATATTATTTATTAGTTAATAAATTTTATATTTTAATTAAAATTGGCTTCTGGACCAGTTCAAAAATATTGCTTAAATATTTATATAATTAAATTATTAATAAATTTTTGTTTAAACTATCCAAAATTATTCAAGAATCAACTCTAAATCATAATCTTATTAAATAATTTTTGATCTGCATTCAAATAAAGAGAGAAAATCTTGATTTAGATAGGAATAATAAAAATTAATCTGCAGATATTGCAAAGTCTTAGAGTATTTTATCCTTATTATACTTTGTCTGATAGTATTTTGGCAGTATATAAATGTGTAAAGAAGAAAAATCTTGTTAATATCAGATATTGTATTGGATATTATTCCATTTCATCCAAAGTCAATTGAAATATGCATATTAAGAAGAGAACTATAGTTTTCAATTATATTATATTATAATTTATGAGCACAAAATACAGTCACTGATAATTTTCAGATAATAATAGTAATTATCATGTGTATATTTGATATTGCGAGCAATCAACATGCATACACTTGTCCAATTATATAAAAATACATCAGTTTCTCAATAACATATGTTGATACTACATTTTTTGAAGTGTGATAAAATCATATCATCATTACTATCATCATTATCATCACTATCATGTCATCATTCAAAAATAACTAATGATATATGTATTTGTAATCAACATACTTTTATCAATATTCGTGAGACTATCTTGGGGCTGACTTAATGCATGGTATATGTAATCAGAATCATAAAGCTTTTGTGATTTGCATTTTTTACAATTTGACAATTAATTAAATAAAACCACATTTTTGATAGCTCATATCACATTTGCTCCGAGTCATATATCGGTACTGTATCGGTATATATTTTCTTTTTATGTTAATTTGGTTACAACAGTAACTTATCGTTATCTAAAATACAAGGAGACTTATTATCGTCTATTACGCTGAGACAGAATCAACCAAACAAAAGCGAAGCTGCGAATTACTAAGACTAGTAGTAAGTAGTATAAAAAAAAGCCACAGGTAATCAACGACCTGGTGTTTGTTGAGACCACCAGTCCTCATTCGTCACCTATACGCTTTTAGTGGTAGTTTGTAGTGAATAACTACTTAATAATCGGTTCTTATTACTCTTTCTCTTCGTCGTGCTTTCTCCCCCGTCGTTGTATATAGTGTTTTCATTTTTTAAATATATTTTTCCGTTGAACTGCCGATCACCAAAATGGGTTTCTTTCGGTCATATACGATATACCGGCTTTCACACAAGCGAAAATGGCACAACCTTATAGAATTCAAGACTGCAGAAGTGGTAAGCGAATTCAGCCACAAAGCATATATGACAACAACACTGGAGTGGCACGAAATCGTTTCAGTCGTAGAGGCGATAAAATCTCACGAACGACAAGTTCTAAAAATTCGGGTCGGAGCGACGTAATTAGATTCAACGTTGAAGAAGCAGGAGAAACGTCGATGAATAGTAATGAACCCAGCACCTACGGTTGAGGAGGTAATTGAGTCGAGTGATAGTGAAAAGGAGAAAAATAATGAACAAATTCAACCTGAAAATTATGCCAAAATTTTGTACAACCCAGCTACATTGATATTGTGGTTGATGGGGAAACATCGATGAATAATAGAGAATCAGTGCTCTCTATTGAATAAATTGAATTGAATGACAGTGAAAAGCAAGTTCCACCCGAAAATTCCAATAACTCGTCTTCTCAAAATGTCACCCAGAATGCGATAAAACGTATCTATATTAATCTCGTGGATGACAATGAAGAGAACGAGGAAAATGAAGGACAAATTGAAATAATATATATTTCAGATGAGAGCTCGATTATGATAATATAGAGCCAAATATTATGGAAAATCAAACAGAAATTCGCCGAAGAATTCATTTATACGGCCAGATATGTCCTCAAACTGAAGAAGAACGCAAATATTCACCATCACCACGTGAAGGATTCACAACAGATTTGGATAAAGATACAATTGTGATTTGCTCTAGACGCAATCATGGAATGGAGAATGGGATGTGCGTATTATACTGTGGTTTTGGAACATTATACAAAAAAGATAGGATTTCTTTCTGTCGAGTCTGCAAAGAATATATTGCGAAAGACGAAGTTACTAGACTTTCTTTTAATTATCTGAAGTACAACATTTATTAACATATTAATAACTGCAAATTTTTGCGCACGACATACTATATTTGTCAATAAATATAGCCACATCTTAGCTTAATTTATATATAGTTATATTCACATATCCATTACATCATGAATCAAAACATTAGATCGTGTGAAGTATAATTAATAATGGGTTAGTGAGTTTAGTTAACTTCATCTTTTATGCGTGATAAATTTAATGATATCATAACTTTTAAATTTAATTCGCAAAAAGTAATTAGTGCTCCGAAGGGTCGAATCGGGTCGAGTTTTGGACATATTCGTATTCGACCCGAGTATAAAAATTAAAATATATAAATACTCGGGTTAGATTTATATAACCCGAAGTCGGCTCGACCCTTAATCAACCAACTTGTACCAACTCGAACTGACTCGAATTTTGGATCGGTAGCAAATTTGAAAAACAACAAAATTTGTCGGTCAAAGGGATAAACCAATCAAATCGCAAGATATGAATAATGTTAAGGCCAGAGTTCAAATTATATTATACGTGAGAAGATATACAGTAAAATTTTGCAAAGAACCTTTATTAGAGCACAGAAAGAAGTTTCATAGACAAAATTTCGAGATACAAGCTATTTTTCTGCTTTGAATTTTTCATTACACAGTGTCCTTGCCATTTTATTGGTTTACCACTTAAAAATGTCATGTGACTGAATTTTTTTGCCGGTTATTGTTGATCATCATACATACCGATAACATCGACAATCTAATAAAAGATTACAACAAAATTAAATATGAATTATTCGAATTGATTTCTTTTAAAAGATTTACGAAAGTTGAATATCTTGCAACAGGAGGTTTTGGGTCAATCTGGTTAAATGAGAATCATGAGGAGAATAAATTATTCAAAATGGAGAAAGTAAAGTTGTGTTGAAATCATTACACAAAATTATTCTGCAATAGCAATACTATGATTACGGCAACTTGATAGCATATTATGGAATGACTGACAAACTTATGCGTTCTACGGTGATCGTCACTAATGACTATAGCGATCTTTACAAACACAAGGTGAATGTACGGATTGTCAAAAGGCGATAAGGTTTTTGTAGTAAATGCACAACATGTCAAAAAAATGATGGTTGATGCTCACAAACAAATTTATAACGATGAACTGTCTAGCGGATATTCAATAGCAATATCTCCGTAAATACATGTACATTGTTAGCAGTAATATTTAGAATAATTAAGTCGACAAAACCGTATCTTTTTCCGATCGTGAGGCGTATCTTATCATGACATGATTTAGATGACTGATAGCCAGTTTTGGAAATTTCGAAGTCAGACGCGCTTGTTTATGCGCTGATTTTTATTGTTATTATTATGCGCCTGCTTTACAATATCGTGGGAATACACGATTAAATTAATGTTTCAACTTTATAATTGATAAACTAAAATGAGGGCGTATCATGATTATTTGATTTAGATGATTGATAACGATGACGCATCCAGAAGACTCGCAGCTATAAAAGATTGTGTTTTTTATTAGCTAACTTTCTCTAACTACACGTATCCTTATTTTCTCTATTCCAATTATCTTCCGTCTTTGTACCATTCGAAGTATATATATATATTTTATTATCGATAATTTTAACAAAGGCAGGAAACATGTGTTCTCTATATAATAAAAAAGAAAATGGGAAAAATAACACACTCAAAATCTTACAATGACCAAAGACACCAAGATCTTAGTAGTGTTGCTCCGCGAGGAAAAACGCGGTCTAGGAGCCATTTGCGACAACAACAAAATGCAGCAGCGCGTGCGAGAGAGTTGTGAGATAATCCTGAACAGGGTGGGTTCCCCCCACCCACTTCGATCTTCAACGCAGAATTTTAATATTAATGGTGGTGATGGTGGTTTTGGCGGTATTGATGGTATTGGTGCGGGAGGAGGATCTGCTATGGGCAGATTACCGCCAAATCAACGAGTACAAACATCACACATTACCCCGGATGGAAATATCACAACTACGACGACTGTTACAATTAAAGTGACTACTGTCACAACAACAAATCCTAAAAATGGGGCTATAACTACATCGTTTTTTACGGAAATTGTTCCAGAAACAACCGCCGCCAATAATTCTCATGATGACGCAACAGTTACTTTTCAACAATGGAACCGATTTTCACTCCAATGTCGCCGAAAATGTCATCAATTCCCAATTATCATCCACCTGCAAACAGATCTTCATCCGCTTTCAATCATCATTCAGCAAGGCGTAACTCAATAAATAGTCCACGAGACAGACGCTCGCCTAATGGTGCATCATCTAGTCGTAGAGGTACGAGGAGTGGGACTCCGTCGAGAAGAAGTCCTATAGTGCATCAAGTTCATCGGAGAGTTCTCACCCAACAATCTTGAGTGAAGACTTGCCAACAATATTTATAAAAAATGTATCCGATAATGCCGGTCAAAATCTAGTTTCATATGAAGAATCTCCCTCGCCGATCGCTGATGAAAACGTAATCCTGGAAATTTTTTCGATAAAGATATCGATCAAAATGAAGATCATTATGGTGATGCTAGCTCTTCTACCTCATATAATAATAATAAAAATATAAACAAGAAAGTTCTGGACCTTCATCACCAATCCCAACATCATCACGTTATCATCAACTTCCTAAATTAGGAACATTGAGTACGGTATATGATGTTTGGAATAAATGGCATGTAGGATTAAATGGAAATCCTTCTATTGAGGAGTTGCTGACTAAATATGGGCAAGTGATAATTCTAGTAGACTGTCTCGACGACGAAAATTATCAAGGAAGTTAAACGAAGAATAGAGGAATTTGGCAACGATGAGCGAATAGCTATTGAATCTCTTGAGACGATGCGAGCGGGGAAATCTGTTTAGATAAATTATCCAGAAGAAAAAAATAGTATCTTTCATTTCTTTTTTTAATATCGGTCGTGACGATGGACTGTTCGTTCTTTGAATTTCTACTTGTATTATAACATTTTATTTCCTGTAAAAATTATTATTTTCATATAAAATTAGCGTTTAATTACGCGATATACTTTATAAGCTGAATATGTTTTTTGATAAAATATTGCCTAATTTTTTCGTCGCTAGAAATTCGTCGTCGCAGTCGTCACAAATATTAGCCTTCCATATTTTTCTTTATATAAGTCGGCGGATTTCGAGTTTTGATGACGATCTCACATTTTCAAATATTTTAATCCGATCCAAAACCAACAATAAAGTTTTTAGGTCAAATTTTTATACAGTGCAGGACACTTAAGACGCCAATCACGTGACTTGTACCATTTTTGGTTTCATTTAAATAAGCCAAAAAATCGATTTTTACATACTTGTCGAACAAATCACGTGTCCGAAAAGTCACGTGATATATAATAATAATATTATATCCACGAAAGAGCTGAATATTTTTCTCTTTCTGCAAATTTAGACTTGAAAAAGATTTAAAAAAGTGATTTTAGATTTTGAAAACATGGTCCAATAAAATATGATTAATATAAAAAATAAAAAAATATAATCTGAGATCAATTAATCAAAATTAAAATTCAATTTTACTAAATGATTACTAATCACATTATTACTTTGGATATGTCCTACTAATCACTAATTATATGAAACTTGGATATTTTAAATGAATACTATTCAAAAATAGATAATTATTTTTTAAAAAAGAAGTCACTATTTTGTAATTAAATCAATTTACTATAAAATAATAGTCTTTTTTTATATTATTTTTGTGTAATTATATTTTACTATTTAAAAATAATTAGTTTTATTAGCATTTTTAAGTGTTCTACATTATAATTAAATAGAATTTCTTATTAATATTTCAAGCTTATTAAACTATAGCTATTATCTTTCTTATTTTCTTCTTAATCTTTAATTATATTTTCAGCTTATAACTTTTGATATTTTTTCTTTACTACTTATTTTACCTCTTTAATTTCTTTCTCTACTATCATTTCTAATATTATTAACTAATTATTTTTTATAGCTTATTAAATATCTAATATATAAATAATTTTTAATATAAACTTTAAGTAAATTCAAAGTATTACTTATTATAAATATATAAATATATAAATATATCTTGCTACTGATCTATCTTTGTATTTGATTTCTAAACTTAATAAATTAAAAAGAATATTACAGATAACTAGAATAAATATAGTATATTATTAATAATATTTTCTCTTTATATTATTTAAATATTTAAATATTTAAATATTATATAATTAATATTTATAAGTAATTTTTTATATATATTTCAAGTTTTTTTCATTTAGTAAGACAAAAAAAGATATATTATTATTAATTTTTATTAATTTTTCTTTACTATTAAAGATAATATTTTGAATAATAAAAGTATATATTTCTATAGTATATTACTAAAAATTTCAAAAATGAAAATATTATTTTAAAATTTAATTTCTTATAATCTAGTAATCTTATTTAAATAAAATATTATTATAAGATTCATAAATTCAGAATAAATTTAATAATATCAGATCTTAAAGTAACAAATTTATTTTTAAAATTTTGATAATATATTATAAAAATATATATAATTATTATATTTACTATAGTATTTTACTCTTATTTAAAATTATTAAATAAAAATAATTAGTAAAAAATCTACAGATTTATATAATTTATAAAGAATTTAATAAAGTTATTATTTAAAAATATAGATATTTATATATTATAATTCATATTATTACTATAATCTTTAGTATTTTTCACTAAATATTTCTTTGGTATTTATTAATATTTCTTAAAAATTGAAAAGAGAATTGTAAAAATTAATTTCTTAAATATTTTCTTATATACTTGCTATATAGAATAATAGAAAAAAGAATTTTAATAAATCTTGTAAATTAATTTTTAATTTTAAAAGTAATTAAAGATAAGTATCTTTTAGAATTTTTCAGATAGTTCATTAATAATAATTAATTTTCTAAAAATTGATAGAAATAGTATATATTATTAATTTTTTTGTTTAAAATATTTATTATATAAATGAATTCTTTATAAATTAAAGATCTTTTATTATTTAATGTTTAAATAAGTAAAAATTAAGTTTATAATAAAAAATATATTAAAAATCTTTTATTATTTAATATTTAAGTAAATAGAAATAATAAAAAATATTTAATATTATCAATTTTTATTTATCACTAAATAATAAATAATTAAATAAAGTAAATTATATATAAAAAAATAAAATAATAAAAAAGAAAAAATTATAATAAGCTTTATAATTCTTTATACTTGTCTTTATTATCTATTATATATAATAGAAAGAAATTAATAAAAATATTTATTTATAATATATTTATATAATTTTTTATAGATATTAATTTACTAATCTGATAAAAATAAAATAGTAAATGAAATAATAAATAAAGTAGTAGGTAAAGTAACAGATAAAATAATAGATAAAGTAATAGATAAAATAACAAATAAAAAAATAGATTATATAAATAAAGTAATAGATATAAAAGAAAATAAAGTTATTTATCAAAATTTTGAATTGATTAAAGTAAGATTAAGAAATTTAATAAAAAATTCTTATAATCTTACAGTATAAAAAAACTTTAAAAGATCTTGCTTACTTTTCATAATTATATAACTAAATAGATTTTTTATTTGATTAAAAGTTTATATTTCTAATTATTTTATATTAAATAATATTATATTAATTAATTTTAAAGAATTATCTTTAAAGAATTTTTTAAATATCTTGATAATTTATAAAATAGCTAGATATAATTATTAAAAAATAATAGTAGTAAATAAAAAAGAAATATAATAGTAAATAAATAATAAAAAAATAAAAAAGTAATCTAATATTTATATAATAAATCATATCTATTATATTTTATCAGATTATAAAAAAATCTTTGTCTTACTTTATCTATTTTCTAGATTAAAACTATAAAAAAATATATATTATACTTTATCTATTTTCTATTAATATTATAATTTTAATTAATTATCTATATAAATTTAATAAATTATTAGTATTTATTATATAAAAAACTATTATACTTCTTTTATTTATCAATAATAATAATATTTTTAAAATATAAAAAATCTTTCTAAGTATATTACAAAAAGTTCAAGAGTTAGTCTTTAAAATATATTAGAAAGATTTCTATACTTAAAAATATATTAAAATTTTATTTCTTTTTAAAATGATAACAATTAATATATAAAATAAATTTATTTAACTACTAATATAAAAATCTATTATTTAATAAATATTATTATCAAATTTGCAAATGATATTTATAACTTTTAATAAACTAGTATATCAATATAATATATTACAAAAAAAGAACTATTTCTTAATTAATAGATTATATTTTATAAAGATCATAATTATTTTAACTAATATAAAGATTAAAATATGATATAAATTTATAAAATATACTAATTACAAGATTATCTCTTCTAATAATATTGATAAAATGTAATAAAATAATATTATTTATAAGATTACTAAAAAGATTCTAAAAGAAAGTTCTAAAGAATTACTACTAATAGATACTAATATTAGCTTTGAATTTAAAGATCTTCAAGATATAATTTTAGATAATACTTTAAAGACTATTAAAGAAAAAATTGAATCAGAATACTTAATATAATAACTTAATAATGCTTATTATAATTCATAAAATTAATAATAAAGAATAATATTTCAAGTAATAAGTATAATAATCTGAAAATATTATTATTATCGAAATTCACAAAAAATAAAAAAGATTATTTTAATCAAATAAAATTATTTTTGATTAACTTTAAAGAAAGATTGTTAGAACTTTTTCTAATATTAATTTTACTTTCTATTATTATTTAATTTTTTGATATATATCTAATAACTCAATTTTTATTAAATCATATTTATGAGAGAAAACTTTCATATTTATACATATATAGTCTATATTATCCATTTGTGATGTGCATTATTTCTGTGCTAAGAAATGACATGCATCAATGTATTAGGCTTTTTATGTAAATTTTTAGTATTTGAAATGATTTTATAATGCTATGCTATAATTTAAACATTGATCATTTATTATAAGTATCAGTAGTATGTACAGTGATAGCTAAAGATATTTGGTTTATATGAAAAGAAAATTTAATCACATGATCTAACATTCACGGTGTTACAATATCGATATTCAAAAAATAGGAATTGTCATTATCTGTGTATCATCTATATACATGTATGAAGTCATTATGATGGATGTACCTTATTTATACGCGTTTAATTAATTTGATTTTCTACGTTAAATTATATTAAAAACAATAAAAATAGTAATAAAAGATAATTATGTGGAAAAAATTTCTAATACAAATATCAAAATACTAAATAAACTAAATACCTTATGATATTTAAATAAATGGTCGATATATACTATGAAAGCATATCAATATGGAAGTAAGCAACGCAAATTTTTGTGATTTGAATATTTACATGTTTAATTCACTATAAATTTCCGTTAAAGGCTATTCTTTTTCAATTGATCGAGCTCTTGTCTTGCCATTTCCAACTCCATTTCCAACAACCTCTTTTCACCTATGAGGACTTGATTTTCCCTCCTCAATAATTCCACCTTTTCCTTCATTTTCTGCGTCTCTTGTTGTACACGATGTAATTACATTCGCGTCGATAGCTCTTGTGCGTTTGCAACTCGTTCTAGACGTATGAGGTTATACTTTAGAACTTCGATTAGTTCAGGCGTGGAGTAGTGTCGATTAGAAGTTATCATAGGAGTAGATGAAGATGGCGACGATAGTAATAATGAAGATAATACGATTTTTGGTGATGAGGGTTGCAATGAAAGGTGATGGCAGTGAAGTGGTGAGCACAGCGGATTGTTGTGCAATCGTATTTTCATCATCATTTAAATTTCCTCCAGATCCGTGGTTATTTGATCAGAATTGATTTTGGATTTCATCATCTTCTTCGAATTCAGCACGTCGATTTTCATTACTATTTAGATTACCTCGAATATTGTTAGAATTTTGGTTAGGTGTCATTTTCCCATATTCGCCATTATCGGAAGAATTTCCATCGAACCATTTAAAAAAGTTGCATTTATTCCCGTGATCAATCATCCCATATTTTGTGCATCCCAAAAATATCGATTTCGGTTTTCTGGCTTACCACATATGCCGACTTGACGAGCGATAGCTTCAATATTGCAATTGCATACCGGATTTTCATCATTGCTGTTGTTAATAGGGGAAGGTGTATCTGCGGGTGTATTAAAGCCGTTTATTTTGTCATTTTGTGAAGACATTTTTTAAGTTATTTTTTTACTAAGAAAAATTGTCTGGTTCTGGTTAAATTTTGAGTTTAATGGTGCTGCGTATTTCCAGAAGAGAAAAAAATGTATCACAATGTTCAAATCAGTTGTCGGAGACCCACTCTTTTTATAGGTATGCTGTGCTCTTAATTGACTTAGAACACACATACAAATGTTTCCTCACGCATATAAGGAGCGGGAGGCAACGTATTATTTTATTTGTGTCAAAAGAATCCGATATGTACAGTAGAAAGTCGGATGATTTATACACTAGTAGAGGGTTGATGATATATATATATTATAAAGAACTACTCTAAATCAAAGTAAAGATTGTTGATATAGAAAATACTCAAGAAAAAATATTATATTATCAGAATAAAATAATGAAATTTGCATATCTAAAAGATAATCATAAAAGATTACTCAAATTTAATGTAAAAATAATATTGTATATATATAAGTTACGGGAGTTCGATGATGACTTGAAGATGTCAATGCTGCTTCATTTCAGGAGATACATCTCGAGAGACTGTGTAAAGGTATTCCACCTCGGGTGATGTATCTGAAGATGGTAATATTGGAGTTCGATGACTTGAAGACGACAATGCTCCTTTATTTTCGGGAGATATATCTCGAGAGATTGTATAAAGATATTCCGCTTCGGATGACGAAATCTGAAGATGGTAATCTTGAGTTAAAGAATTTGATTCTGCCGCATTTGTTGTTGATTTTCCTAACTCAATGGAATGCGACATTTCGGATTTCTTGGCGTTCTTTGGCACCGAGTATTCTGTTATAGTTCCGGTTTAATATTATAACAAAAAGAAACATCAATTAATTCACTGATTTATAAGATCAATAATCATATTCAAAAATCTACCTAATTATATTATACTGATTCACTATATCTTGAAGAATAGTTTCCTTCCTAAGATCGTTGGGAGAACATGTTGCATGACAAAGTGAACACCCCAGGTCTCTAGTAATACATACGTCAATACAACTTGCGCAAAAGATGTGCCCGCATTTAGCAGTTAAACAACAACCAGATCTCATTTTTCTACTTCTAAAAATAGCCAGAAATAAACAATAATGTCATTCTTGCTTAAAACTGATACCCAACCGTTGACCAATCCGGCCACATGATAACAAACTGCGCAAATCATATTTGGGAAGGCAGTGTTGATGTTGATAAGAATTTTTCGAAATGACATCAAATGTTGAAGCTACAAGGTAAAATTTCAGTTTTGGCTGGTTTTTCATATTACTAATTAAGGATAAAGATCTTGCATCGTTCCACATGTACTTAATCCTTGATTTACCATTAAATGTTGAATTAATAAATAAATCAATTGCAAGATATTCATGATAACTATTAATAAAGATTACATGACGTTACTCATCGATATAATATTAATACTGTGGGAATATAAATTTACGTCATTCGCAAGATATCTATGATCACTATTAATGAATGATTATTCCCAACATGACATTACTCAAGTCGATATAATATTAATATTGTGGGAATATAAATTTACATCATTTGCAAGCTATTATTACATTACACATGTTGATATAATATTAATACTGTGGGAATAATACAAATTCCAGGGCTATAGTACATGTTTCATAAATGGTTGATCATCAATATATAAAATCATGGATGATGATCGTAGTTTTAATAGCGATAGAAATTATAATCGTAATTGCATGTGCAATGATGAATTCGGGCAAAAAAGTCACATCGAGTATCGATATCGATTCTAAATGATACATTGGTGATTTTGGAACATATGAATTTTTCACATAATCATAATTCTTGAACGCGGAGGTTTAATGCATCATTGGCGTTTTTTATAGCCGTAGTTGCAAGTTGCAATGTACGTTACATATATACATGCACAAGCACAAAGGCCAATGCATCACAGGTAAGTCAAATTGCTGATTGATCGAGAATCTGAGCTGCGTCAATGAAGCGTTTGGAGGTTATATTTCTATATATAGTAATTTTAATCGTTAAAAATAATGGGATAAAGAAAGCGAATTAGAAATGTATTGATCATTTTTTAGCAAAAAATATTAAATATATGCGCGAATACATGTAATTATAAAATTTTGTAAACTTCTAAAAGAAAGATCCTTTAGCAGATCTTTTACAAGATTAAATTTCATTTAGAAGAATGAATTTAAATACATACTCATAAGATTACTGTATACATATAAAATGTGTACATGCATTATTTAAAATTGAATATTGTATTTTTTGCAGGTGTCAGTGGCTTTTGGATGGCGCTTTAATGTTGCATCCTGAGATAATATGCACCTTTTTCCGCATCTCGAGTTACTCCATTTTAATAACTGTATTCAAGATTATACATGGCGGTTGAGTTTCCATTATACGCAGATTTCTCAAAATATTCCATGGCTAATAATTCATTTTTTTCAACCCCTTCGCCTTTACCGAGACAATGATCATAATGAAGTTGAGCCCCATTTTGGCTGCTTCTTGAAAATATCGTGCAGCTTTTGTCATTGCCGCATTTTTTTGCTCGTCAGTTTTTGATCATCTAATGTATTATTAAAAAGTAATATCCGACTCAAAATTTCGCAACGAGATCGCCTAAATCCGCATATTTGCAAAATATTTGATGTGCTGTTTACGATTACCACTCTTGGATTGATGAATATTGATGGCATCCTTAATGGTCAGTTCTTTTGGCCTTGGAAGAGTAGTAGGTTGAAAATAGATGGAAGATTTCTTTTAGAAAAATCAAATAGTTGATCAAATATATCTTTAATAGCTGGGCGATTCATAGGTTCAAGACTTGTTGCTGAATAATTAAAAGGATAAACAGATTTTATTATTTATTAACATAAACAATATCTAGCCATTCAAATAGAGTTTTCAATGAAGAAAATTGTTCTCATTTATATTCAAGAACCAAGTTCTTGAATTCTTCAATATCTTTATTCTCAAATGGGGCTTATGCTCAGCTATTTCCCAGAGTAGTACCCCAAAACTATAAAATAAAAATTAATAAGAAAAAAATCTATAGTTGATAGTTATTCGCGGAATCTTTACCTATATATTTCACACTTAAAATCATATGGATGTTTATCATCTTTAAGCTTCTCCGGTGCCATGTATCGGAAAGTTTCGAGATTTTCACCAATATCTATGGTATCCTCTTTTAAACCACGACTTAAAGTGAAATTGGCAATTTTTGCTGTATACCTCGGATTGCCATTTGTAATAAAAATATTTTGACTGCGAATATCGTGATGTAGAATTTCAGCTGTTTGTAAGTAAATTAATCCTCTAGAGATATCTAAAGCGAATTGCAGTTGTAGACTCCAATCCAAATGATGAACTTTCAAAGTTGATTCGGTAGCCCATTCGGTTACCAGATAAATTTTATTCGGCGCAATATTCAACTCAATTGCAATTCCGTAAAACATGATTATATTCTCTGCTCCTCTTAATCTCTTAAGGAATGGACTTTTTTTAAGATAATCTGTCACGATTTTAAGTATGTCTGGATTCTCTGCCTTTTTAGTTCAATTTCTTTGAATGTAACTTTGACATTATCGTATCATTCATATTGTGACACTTTCCTTCTCTTTGGTCCGGGAACAGCTTTAAAATCTTGGATATTGAGGACTGCTTCTTTTTTATCAAAAAGAGCGATATTTTCTTTCCTCTGAAAAGCTTTATTTATTGTAGAGACAGTCCTTATTTCTTTTAAAATCTTCTGTCCATCTGTACCAATATTTATAATATACTAAACAAGAATTTGCATAAATAGTTAGAGAGAATGTCTATTTGATTTTAACAAAGAGCTTATATTACATTTTCACTATCCTGCATATCCCTTCTTTGCCTTTGTTTTTCTGAATCGGACGAATTGTTAATTGCATCTGTGTGCCTTTCGAATTCATCAATAAGATTATGAAATATTTATCCATCGAAAATTCGGAACTTCGATATTTATTAAAGAATTTATTAGCGCATTGCAACTGCGAAACATCCAAGATAAAATTCCTAATTTTTTCAATCTTTTAGTTGTCGTAAGGTTTTCACTTCACCTGCAGCAGTATTGACACGTTTAAATAACATACTACAAATTCTTTTATTAAGTTCAGCATTTTCGAAAGATTCTCCAATTTTATCCGAGTATTTTATAAGATCGGTATCAATGGTTGAAAATCTTTAAAATCCATTTGTTGGGATGATCCAACAGGTTCAACACCCTCCATAGGCTCAGCTTATTTTAAGATAGAAATTTATTAGCAAGCAAAGATATATTGACACAAAAGCGATTTTTTTAGTCTTTTTATGATCGTGCTCGACTAATGTTACATGCAACAATTGTACATGTACATGTAGTGCACTTGTAATTATAAAGGTAGCAATTAACGCATGACGAATATCCTAATTATTTAACACTTCGAGAATATTGTAATAATCTACATGTATTTAACAATAACTATAATAACCTTCGTAATAATCAATAATTAATATACCACGCCGTGTGTTAATACATGTAATTGGTTATTTGAGATATGAAGATAGAGCGAGAGATGAAAAACACCTGTGTGATTCCATATATCCGCTTTATCCGACCTTCATCAACAAATTCTATTGGTTTTATTGTACGAATAGTTGAACACTTGAAATTTATTTCACCGCCACCAGTGGAAGTGTTCTAGGCATTCTATGTTAAAAAAACTCATTGAGCACCAAGTTCTTCATCGGCTACCATCACACTGCAAACAAACTCATCTCGATTTAGCAACCTATACAATGCAATTACTAAAACTGAGAGTAGAATATCACCGTCTCAATACAATATATATATATATAATCAGACCACTTTTAAATATAATAATACTAGTTTCCCAGGATAAATGATAATACTTTTGAAGTATTCATCCAAATTAAAAAAAAGATTAGAATTGAGGATTTCATTTTATCTGTAAAATGGCAATAGAAATAATAGAAGTGTCATAAATTTTGTTTTTTAAAAATTTGTTAATCCAAACCTTCCAACGTCCATAAACCAGAATTCATAGATCTCAGATTCATGAAGTTCCGAACACGCAAAAATTACAAATCATAGCATTCTAAGTGAAATCTTAATGATTGTATTTACTTGATAATCTTTTTAATGTCACAAATGTTAGCAATTATAGATAATTATACGATTTATTAAAATCAAAAGTTTCGGAGTAAGCATAAAAAGGTAAACTTAAAATCCTAGAAAACATACGTAACAATAAAAGAAAAGTATTTATAAAATGAGGAGCAATGAGGAGAAGTTCAATATTCAATAATCATTTCTTGGCATTTATGCATAGTATCAAAATTCGTGTGACATGTAATAATGTCAGTCTTCCGAACCATAGTATACATCCACTACAATATCAAAATATATGAGAATGGATTTGTCCAATGAAATAGATTAGAACCGGCACATCCGTTAACTTGATCAAAGTTATTTTGCCAGGTTCTTCATCCGTGTATCAAACGTCTGATTAATATTTTTTGTAATATGCATCATGATTTTCCAATTAAGCCCCGAAAGAAGGACGGGAAGTAGAGAAAAGACCACTTTTTGATGATTCTGTTATTGAAGAAAGGTACCTATTGTAAAGACTAAAAAAATAAAAAAAGCTAATAATCAATCCTAGAGGCGTTACTGATGCCAGAAGTGGCCCCTGAGTAGGTTGCGTACAGTCAAAAACATCATCATAATACGTAGTGAATACGCAAATATAGCGACCTGCAAACAAAACCCTACGGCCCATGATTTAATCAAAACTATACCCTCAGCAATTGATAATCAACCTCGTGTGGGCTTTTTTCCCGGAAATAACAATTAAGTAATGTTGAGCATGTCTTCATCATCGTCAAGTCTAAATGATTCTATCCAGTGTTGAATATTTGATCATAACCTCACACGAATGGTTCAAATTAATCTCTATTCTTGCAAAAATGATTTCAAGAAACTTGATCAAGATACATTCACTTAGCAACTGTGTGCACCCATCCACCTATATACATTTAAAGAATCTAAAGTAAGCATGCACAATTCTGTGTAGTCGAGATGTGGAACATCATTCGTTTGGAAATGTTGATATAATAAAAAAAGTAAGCAACTATAAACTTACACTTCTTCCAATAGGCAAGAGCAAGAATAAGTGTGGGCAAGTGAAAGTGAACAAGTCCAAGTGATAAGTAAACCAAAGCAGGTGGGCAAATGAGAGTGGCAAGCGAGAGCAAGGGTGTGGACATAAGCAAGAGCATGAGGGTGAGAACAAGTGAGAGATAGCAAGTGTGAGCAAAGAGAATAACCAAAATAAGCAAGTGAAACTAGTAGATAACGAGTGGACAAGAATAAGGGAGGGTAAAGCTAACAAGTAAGCAAGCAAAAATGAATACAGACAAGAAAACGAATAAAGAGAGAGAAAATAAGTAAAGAGAAAAGAAAGTAAGGAGAAAGCAAATGAGACAAAAAAACCTTTTATAAATAAATCAACCATATATTATGGAAATATTTATTGTAATGCATTTATTTATTATGCAATGGTCTAAATAGGGATTAATAATTTTTTGAGATTTTGTGTTTGATGTATTATGTTTGCCAGTCAAAGTCATATAGCCCCGGAATTAATCTTATTACAGATTCCCACATTATTATTATATTAACATGAGTAACATCATGTTGGGAATAATTATTATTAATAGTAGATCATAAATATCTTTGCAAATGATATAAATGATTATTTTTATGTAAAACATTTGTAAATATATGTATAATATCTCTACACCGTAAAATATCTATTTTTCTGCAAATTCTACTGCAATTTTCTGAATTTGCAGAATTCACATAGCTATAACGTGATTTTTATTTTGCATAATAATGTTAGAATTTTTAAATTTACATTACAAAATCATCTAAACAAAATTCTTTTTGTCTAAACTATACGAATCTATCGGTTCTATTTTTGTCTAAATTTGACCATTGGAAGATTCCATGTCTCAAAGTTACTGAATTTTTTTAATTTTTTAAATTCAATTATCATGATTTAGACATTTTTTTGATTTTGCAATAAATTACTGCGCAGAAATGCAATAAACTGGATGGCAAAAATAGTGAAGAATTTGTAAAATACTTAAATAAATTGACATAATTATTTTATATTACATGTAGATATCTAGATTCTTTATTTTTGATCTTTCACAATTGAATAGGAAATGTTTATTTGTAGAACAAAAATTAATTCTATAAACAAAGGCTTTTGTAATTTGCAGTGTCAATATTCTCTTTTCTGCAGTAGCAAATTCCAGTTTAGCCAATCACCACAGGTTTCGTCTGAAAGAGTTTCATTACATCATAAAAATAGTTTAGATATTATTAATTCACAGCACAAAAGTTGCGCTAGTAGACTATTCCTATTATTTAAGCCATTATATAGGTTATCCACAATGGCCCCAATGGGTGAGCCATTCTCTAAAGACACGTTACCAACTAAGTTACCACTGGGTGCATTAGGTGAATTATTCTTAACGGGTAAATTAACAGGTGAGCTTTTCTCCAAAGATGTATTATCAGCTAAGTTACCACTGGATGTATTGGATGAATTATTCTCAATGAGTAAATTAATGGGTAAGCAAAGTCTATTAACTGTTAGCAAGAGGAAAGTAATGAAGAATGCAAGAAAGCAATTGTAATTTTTAAGAACCGTTTTAGTAAATACACGAATTTTTAATAATTTGTATAGTTAATAAACCAATATTATAAGATATTATGAAGTAAAATTTTCAAAAATTTTTTCCATTGAACACCCATATTTATATATTCAAAGTTTCTAAGAATTTGGTAGACTTCTTTAAGGAATTCTTATTGAGAATGCCAAGTATGAGTACGTGCATTATCAAATGTTGTGAATATGGTACTGGCCCTCTAAAGACATCTAATACTTTAAAATGCAAAGGCTCTATAAATATAAACATAATGATAAAAAAATATATTATTAAATAGTCTTTAATAAGATCTATAAACTAATACATTTTTATAGAAAACATCTTAGAAATTTATTACATAGTTAGATTTTTTTCTGTAGACACTTTAAATAGAAAATAATAGTAAATAGAGTGAATTTTCAGCATTAGAGAGATATTTCTGATTGGCTAAATTTCACATATAGTCATGTATATTTAATAAATAATAATAATTGAAACCTTAATGTTAAAAAAATTCATGTTAATTATTGATTTATTATACATCATTTGATGCATTTATTTTTATTTAAAAATGGAGAGAAAGAGAGATTTATTATGACAATACCTTATTAAAATATCATTAAATTATAAAAAACGAAAAACAATTATAAATATAACTAACCTTATATCTTTATTATTCAATGAAAAAATATCAGAATTATACCAAATTTATAAATATATTCTTGTAATATAATGAACAACTTCACCTATAATAAAATAATAAGATTACTTAATAGTATTTTTAATAATATAAACTCAATCTTTGTTGAATTTGACTTATTTTTTTTTACAATAAATTTTATTAGGAAAAGTGTAACAATACATGTAATTAATAATATTTGTAAAATATTTTGAGCAAACTTGATTTACAGATTATAAAGAAGATATGTCTAAATTATCAGACAATTTTGACAATTTTTCATTATTCTATGCACTATATAAAAATTCCGAATCTTTATGACGCCAACTGTATGAGGGAATAAGCCTAAATATGTAAAATCAAACGACGGTCGAATAAAAAAATTGGCAACTTCGCATATTGCAAATGACTGCATAGAATATGTTATATCAGAAAATTAAATAAATTTCTTTGATTTCAATAAAATTTTCCAATAAAAAATAATCGGAAACGGACTGTTTGGTGAAGTCTCTAAGTCGAGTCGATTTAACCGTTGCTCTAAATGTCATGTAATCCGTTATCAATGAGGATGATCTTTCTAATTTTTTGTCACATGTAACTTCAATACATGTATGTACATTTGTCAACTTGCTTTACAAAAAAAAGATAAGAATTATCATTAAAATTTAATCGAATAAAAATGACTCCTGACTTGTTATTGACTTTACACTCAAGCAGACTTGATGAATTTTATAAAAATTCAAACTATTGTGATATTTCTTTTATTGTTGGTGAGAATCAAAGTACTCTACATACTTTTTCAGCCCACTCGACAATCTTGATGGCACAATCGCGTTATTTTGCGGTAACGCTTGCTGATGCTTGGGTGAAGCGCGAACCAAATAAGATGATTATTTTTAAGAAACCAAACATTGAACCACGAGTT